TTGTTTTTGATGTTACAATGGGAATTATTAAATCTTTTTTAATCCTCCACTTTTATTGGTCATGCTTAATAGCTATCCTTTTAGAATAGTGTAACTGACTGACTGACAACTGAAATCAACGAAGAAATTCGCACACAAGTGCAATGGCTCAAGTTGCCATAATTCACTGTAGTAGCATACAAAGTACAGGTGGATAGGAAACGACTGATATCAAAGTAGACAAAGGTGTGTGAGAGAAAAAACAATCTGAATATAAAGGTTAGTGCAAATATTCAAACTATACAAGATATCGAGGAGCGAATACATCTGAACCACTGTGATCGATTTTCAGCCATACCACCAAAAGCCGCCAACCACCACTGATTCTTTTCGTCTCAGACACTCCAACTAGACAGTCTACAGCTCCCCACATGGCTCATACCAACAGTGAGAGACTTCATCGACTGGTGCCAAATCTTGGTCGAGCCACCCTGAACCCTCTTCCAACCTAATCCAACTTCCCATAATATGGCATGTCGAGGTAGAGGATGGTTAGACATACATATATGTTTATAGCTCCGAAATGGTGAGCCTTTTATGTGCTTAGCGTGACCAACTAAAACGAATATACTTCGGGGAAGATAAAGGATGAAACTCGTTGGTCAATGATGCAGTAAGTAGCGTTTATGTACAGATTTACATTTTTAGAAGAAGCGTATACCAGTCGCCATGGTAATCGATAGACATAAAGATCAATGCAGAAAAGAGATACTGCTGGTTAGAGTCAGCATAGAAAAACTCAATTCTCTTTGTATCCTCTATTTTCAAAAAGTAATGACGAAACCATCATAGTTATTTTTTTATATGACCGTTCCCTTTTTTAATCTTTCTGTTATTAGATGTGTGCAAAAATTATTCGATTTCAAAGAAGAATTCACTTAGAGAAACCCTAACCAGGAGGCACTAGATAGCTGTTTTGGCTAAGACTTTTCAGTGGTGTCTACCCACCGACCCCATAATGGACTGAGTTCAGGTTCATCAGGTCTTGTGGCTATCACCTGACTATTGAGTTACCGGGTTGGAATTTAATAGTTCACATTTTCCAACTTATATCAATTTCGCCACACAACATGAACAACATCCAATGCCGTTGGCAAGTATCTGTCCTCACACTCAACTTGGTCGGCCCTACTGATAACAACCTTCTCACCGAAACTTCAGCAAACAGCAAGTCGATAGAAGTGGGGAAATGGAGATCACTGGATTCCAACTCATTGACTGAATTGTGGCGTGTTTGGTAATCCTAGGCTTTACTCCTTACAAGTTCATAAATGTGCACAACTGAGAATGTCCAGCGCTCCCGGTACTGGTGTCAGTCTATAATGAAATTTAACTTGAAAACAATGAATCCCCGAAAACCATCAGTTGATTAATTCAGTTTTAGTATTGTATAAATCTCAAAGAAGTCATCTAACCCCACTCATACTACCCAAATAAGTAGACAGTGACCTACCAAGTTAGCACTATATCTTATTTGGAGTAGTGTTAAATTTCTTCACTCCATCCCTACTTCTCATACATTAGTCTAAGAGGAAGTTTGACAGAGGTGCAAATTGACAGCTTCTTGAACAGATGATTATTTTGTCTACAACTCTATGACTAAATTCCACCTTTGTCACTTAGTTAGGGTCTGACTTGGAGTACAGATATGTCGAAATAACATCACCATATCTTTTTAAGACCTCTCGACCAATAGAGACAAATGTCACCCTCAAACTAACTAATACTATAAGAGCGGGTTGAAACACGAAGTTCCTGGGTTCAATCCCCTGCGTATTCCTGAGTATGCATTCCTGAGGAGTCATAAACGAGGATAAATCAACTGTCGATTCTCACCTGGTTTTCAGTGTTCCTTAGGCTGGTGTCAGTTCGTGATGAAACCTATCTTTAAATCAAGCTAATTCCTTTAGAAGGTTAACCGCCAGAAGTATTATGATAACTGAAACAGTATAATGAAACAATTTGTTTTTTACTGATTAAGGGAAATGATCCTGCTTGAGAAAATGTACATGTCTATGTAGCTGAAATGTTTACCAATGTGTGTGTGTGTGTGTGCACGTGCGTGCGAATGGACGGACGGGCGTAAATAAGTGTAAAACGCTATTCTCAGACCTAAAGTCTACCACTGCCTTAGTAGAACTCTTGATTCCGCTTAAGAAGGATTAGTCGGATTATTCAGCAAAAAAAAAAGGTGAGAACAAGCTGATTAGACAATACTAAATGCATCAAATCTATGCAATTGAGAAATAGCAACAACAACAACTATGAGAAGCGATAGAGTATAGATGGTTATCAGTGGGTAAGCCAAAAATCTCATAACTACCATTAGGAATATCAATAGCCATACACTGAGAAACATTAACTACAGGCTTAAGGGAAACTAATGCAAGTCTTTCTCACCACCCAAACCTCTGGACGACCATCCACCTGTAAGACCCATATTAGTGTCATGAATCTCTGTCAACTTTGCTCGCTGTTAGAAAATAATAATGCTCTCTGATCGTTTCTCTTTATTGGTCACACTTTACAAACCGATATAAAAGCTTTGATCATTATTGAAGACGTCAGCGATGATGACGCCGATGACAAGAGCAACATAGTAAGTTACCCATGTTCCGTTATTTCTCCAAACTATTTAAGCTGAGATCTATCTACAGAGTCTGATGAAAATTCCCACCAGAACAAAGAGTTACATATAGCTCATAACACCATTATCTTTCTGAAAGCGTCATCTCCACTCTGACTAGAAAGGATTGAAAAAGGTTCGACCAGAAATAAACATGGTCTTCTTTGTCAAAAGGAAGTATTCATCGTCTGATTGACACTGAGACAATCAACGTAGAACCTCGCGCATATGTGCGACGGCTGAAGAGGTCACACTTTACGGTACTACACAAAGAACAGGTGAATAGAAAAAGTGATACCAAAGTAGACAGAGATGTGTAAGAGAATGAACAATTTGAAGACAATGGTTAGTGCGAAAATTCAAGCTTTAGATGTCAAAGGATGAATACATCTGTGACACTATCACTAAATTTCAGCCATGTTACCTGGTCTTAATCTGGCCATCCTGAACCCTTTTCCGACCTAATCCAACTTCCCTAGCATGGCATATTGAGGTAGGTGATGACTCGACAAGCGCAGTATATGTCCAAGCCACCTCAGTCGATAAAGATTTACAAACTTATCAGTCGAGTGGCCCATCTTGCCTTATGCCCTTCGTCTGATCTTGACATTACTGACGCGGTGATTCCACCATACAAGGGCAATGCTACAAAGACATCAGTGCTCGGAAACCTGCAGTCGCTTCATGTCTTCTAACTTTGACAACCGCATCTCACCGTCGTATAACAGGACAGAATGGAATGCATCACAGTGTACTCGTCCTTTGATTGAAAGTCGAATATCAAGCCAGTTGGTACCACAGATGACGCAAATTGGAGAATGGTTAGTGGGTCTTCCCTATCTGAGCTGAGATTTCGTCTGCGAGCAGCTCGTTCAGTGGGTTGAGACAACTCCCCAAGTAAGTGAAGTGGTCAAACACATTTTACCACTTCACTTCTTGTCATTAAACTGGAAGTACTTGCAGCAGAATAGTCCTGGAGCATCAGGTGCGAGTGAAAAGGCATGCCAAACATACCCAGATTTCTGCCTAACCCATCTAGAAGACCCTTCATTTTGGCAGCGTCTATACCTTGCAGGACAATATCGTCTGTATACTCGAACTCAACCAGATGACCTCTAAAGGGTAAGTCAGTGCCTGTGAAGTCAGATGTACATAAGATTATGTCTATTAATACGTCAATGACGAAGTTAAATAGAAACGGTGACAGTCAGCATCTCTAGCGGACACCAGTAGTTGTCGTCAATTCACACGACAACTCTCCATTAATCCTTACACGTCTGCGTGAGTTTGGGTAGAGATCTCTGATTAGCCTAACTTTTGACAATAACCTTAAAGTAACTTTATTATTGCTGTTTTCGAGCCCTCTTCGGGCCGTTAGTAGCTTTTGTTTATCCCACTACTTCTGAACTCTCATTGGTTGTTAACTCTTTTAACGCACCGGTGAATTTAGTGTTTGTCAAAGTCGTTTAAAATCTATATATTCAACATCGCTCTCAACTGTTTTTGACTGTTGTTGAGACAATAAAAGCTCTCCTTCAACGGTCCATCTTCTCCTTTTGAGGTATTGTTATTGTGGGGGTGGTGGTTAGCACTCGAATCAGCGACTAAATTGCATTCTTTTGCGTGTTAGATGCGTATCGCTTTTAAAATGTTAGATGGCATTACCGGTCAGAGCGAAAAGGCGGAGAGATTGATAACTGGATTGACACCTATCACCATTCAACAATGACCGCATAAAACAACTCACCACCACTAATAAAATCGAAGAATACAAAACGGTAGGACTTATATGCACGAGAAGCTTGTGAATTGCGGAATGAAACAGCCTACTCTACATATATTCATAATTGATTGGAATTTCTTATTCCAATCGTCTCACTTATTAGCCCATCGGTGACGAGTTCGTATTTCTTATCTGACTTAAATCGATCGGTTCAAAAGTCAACAACTAGGTGTGTTTTTTCTGCAGAATAACATTCAACCAGCTAAATTTTTACACAATGATAACAGGCTATAAAAACTGTCGATTTAAATTAGTATATCACCTTATTGCAATGGAAAATATTTCCAGAAAAAAACCTTATATTCTAAGAAGCTTTCTGACGAGATATACTACTGAACAATTTGAGTAGTCAGAAATCACTCAAGTTGATCTATCGATTTTGTCCGTGAGATCACACACTTTTGTGTAAGAGATCACATCTCATGGTTTAGGCTAGGTGACCTCCAATGAAAACTCTGTTCACACTACATTGGGATAGTTGAAAAACTACTCAGATATGAAAAATATTACTGTGGATGGTATAATCTATAAATCATTTGTAAATTAACATACCTGATGGTTTCTCCGAGTTTTCGGTTGTCTTATTCGCTTTTTCCAATTCTACAGTAGACAATTCATGATTTAAAGAGAATCTAGCTTGGTCTCTACCTCTTGTTCTGTTGGATAGCTTCAATGTGGGAAAATTAGTTGTCGTCATGGCTACCGAAGATGCCGGTGTTGTCGACATCGTTGTGATCGTCGTTGTCAAACTAGTCACTTCTTCTTGTTTTGTATCAAATCTACGTTGTTTTGTTGTCTTGTTTTCAAACGGTGTAGGAAGGTTAGTTGTATTGGTAGACTCGAAAAATGCCGCACTGACAGTAGCAGTATTTGAAGCTGCAACTGCTGCTGCGTCAAATCCTTTAGGATCGAGATTTGAAACACTATTGTTAGTTGATCTTGGAAGCCAAGATATCGGTGAAGAGTTGGATAAACCAGAAGCTGCAGCTGCTGCTGCGACTGCTATAGCAGCAGCGTTTGCTGATGTCGACTGATCTGGTGTCTGTAGCTGATGACTAACAGGATGAGACGACATACCAGCGATTTGATTCTGTAAGTTCGAAACACTCGACAACAATGCTGCAGCTGCACTGGCTATTAAAGCTGGATGACGTGAATTCGGTGTAGGTGGGACGGTTAATTTCTCTGCTGAACTTGATACACAATCACTGGGATTAGTGGGGAACACAGTCAGTGGAGGTGACAAATTTGTATTGGATATCTGACTTGTCAGGGGATTTGAAGCGAAGGTATCCAAACTTGAAGGACCTGACGACGAGGCAGACCAACGAGATGTCAACGCATGCACTGCACTTCGTCTATGCTGCAATGGTAGATCACGTAACATAGACATTGTACAATCAGGCATAAAGATTTGATCTGTACACCAGGATTCTGCTGTGCTTGTCGCCGTACTATAAACTGGACTGCAGTTTAACTGGTTGTCTGCACGAAAAACCGAACTTAAATTTTGGTTCTGTGCTTCATAAACTGTAGCTGGAGAAAAAAGAAGAGGTAAAGGTGATATACCTAATTATTGATAGCAAAACTTAAATCTGATAACTTTAGTCTATTTTCTGTATGTGACAACGTCTCATCAAGAACAGTAAAGAAAATTTTGTGCAGACGATACTACTGATAAATATGATAAGTAGTTGTGGATCACATCTGATAGACAAATAATAAAAATCTAAACGCTAAATAACCAGTGAGTCTGATCAAAATTCAAGACTTCGCTTTCTATTATGCACGCAAAATGATTTAAGCCAACTTAACAAATTCGGAAAAGATAAATAAAAGAGTTTAAAAAACAGTTCAGCATTTCGGAGATCGTCACTGACTAAAATTATTTGACAAATCAATCATCCCACCTAAGTGAAACTCTAATAACAAAATTCCAATCCAGTTTTTCAATGCTATTTTGTTTTTAAATTCAAACCGACCTGTCCCCCACCGACAAAACTGAAGTTCCTTTAATGAAGACAGTAGACTTTATTTGCAACAAACTTACTAAGCACGACATAGAAATTGGTATTCCAGTCCCCATATGGAAAGAACTATTTCTCAAGTGTACCATGAACGCACAATTCTTTTTCAATAATGAACTCCCACAGGCAATTAGATGGTGTAGCTATGGGGTAACCCCTTGGCTCGCTCTTAGCATGGTTCACTGAACGAAACTATTAACCGTTTAGAATTATTTTATCGTTACATGGATGATACTCTTATAGTTCTCTGAAGTGAGATTGATAAGAATGCTGTTTTTAGAAAGTTCAATAGGGTTCATCTGGCAATCAACTTCACAATGGAAGAGAAGCGAAATGACACTATCCCATTTCTCGATGTTCTACTGGTAAGAAGGTTTGATGGGACTCTGAGACGAAGTGTATATAGAAAGCCAACATCGACTGGTCAATACACTAACTTCTTTAGTGCCGTACCCCTGCAATACAAAAGTAACCTGGTGAAATGTCTAGCATACTATGCCACAGCTATTTGCTCTAGTGATGCTACAGAGGAAGAGTTCGCCACCGTCTGTGATCTGCTCAGCAGGAATGGCTGGCAATCCAGTGAAGTTTGTAACTAAATATATGAATGTTAGGAAGGTTAAGACAAGAACATCAACAGTTTTTAAGAAGCAAATCTTCTTGAAGTTGAAACCTAACAGTAACATTGCTAGTGAGATCATCACACAGCGCATAAAAAGTCTTGCAAAAAGCATTCTCAGCCGCTAAATTATATCCCATCTTCTACAACTTTAGTGCGACTCTAGGTACAAGAAACAAAGACAAACTGGCTGACTCTGCCACTTTCATGTATCTTTATCAATCCAACTGCTTCTGTGGAGCTAGTTACATTGAGCGTACACTGCAGCAGTTCCATTGTCGAATTTCTGAGCACCATCCATCATGGTTGAGCAAGGGACAAATTAGACCAATAAAGAGCTCCATACTTGCACATCTAGTTGACACAGGACATCATGTGGATAGTAGAAAACCATTCAAAGTTATTCATCACGTTCCAATTAATTTAGCACATGGATTACACACTCACTTACTTCACATAGCAGAGGCAACTGCAATCCACCTTTATAAATCTGACATTTATATTCGAAAGAAGTTTGTTCGACCACTTTCATCATCGTGGGCGTCTTATCTTGTACACCTCTTCCTTATCTTGTTTCTATCAATATTCATTTGTTTTCTTAGTGTTACGTAATTATTTATTCTTTATGACTGAACAGTCATCAAAAGTCATTCCATTTACCTAAGAATAACCTACTTCATATTTCCAATTTTAATTACTCTATTGATTATCTACATCATTATTTCCAAAGCATCACCACTTGATTGATAATTTGACTAAATTGTAAACCTCCTATATATTAGTGTAGAGCCCAAGATGAAGACTTAATCGAAAAGAAATATATTTCTTCGCTCAATCAGTCTTTTTCTAAAGCCAACAACGCTTAAAGTCATCAAATGTTCTTCATGTAACATGAAAATGCCTCACTTCTGTATGAAATAGTAAATACGGATGAAGTCACTTAGCCTGGTGATGAAACGTCACTAAATAAACATCAAAGCTCGGCAAATACTATACAATTATTGCCCTCATCCTGAGCTGCAAATCTTCAAAATTACCTTCATATCCTCCGACTGTGTTTTACGTATTAAGCTCATACTATCTATTTCAAAGTAGTATTCACTCCAGATTGACATCAAACGGGTAACAATTGGAACTCTGGGAGCACTATACACCTGTTTCGTCTTGGTGTGAGACTCCTCAGCAGTGCGCACCCATGAACCCGCCAATGACGGAACCCGGGTTCTGTGGTGACCACGTTATCAGAGAGGAGCTACTGGGTCGGAAATCAATAGTCCACATCCTACTATTTCTGTCAGTTCGCGATATAGTGCACCCTTCATCCAATCCCGTCGTCGAATACCTGTCTTCATGCCCGACTTGGTTTGCCCCACCAGTCACCGATTCTCACTACAACTTCGCGAAATCTCAACTGTGATAAATAACAACATGAAATAAATAAATTCGAACTGACAGAAGTAGGAAAATGTAAACCATTAGATTTTGATCCAGTGGCCGGTCACACAACCTGAGGGTCATGGGTGCTCCATTGCTGAGGAGCCTCAATACTACGTCGAAACAGCGGTTAAGTCCTCCCCGGTTTCCAGTGGTTCACCTACTGATGTCAGTCTGTGATAAATACTAACCTGAAATGAATAGAATCCCGACAAACCTTTCCACTAAAAACCCTGTTGACACAATACCTTGCTAGATGGAATAAAATGCTTGACAGTGCAAACGTCGACAGAAACCGCCGTTATCTTTTTAAATACTTTTAATGTTGCTCATATGCTTATCTCTTGATTTACAGGATCACTAAAAGTAACTCACGTGATTCTAAGTCTGTTTTCTCTGTAAATTCCATTGTTCCATTTGTCATGGGATTGATTGTAGCCTCCGGCATGTGTCCATTATTGGTGCTCCAATTAAATGCACCAACTTGATGCATTGACTGAAGATTACTTGAACACCTTGGGATACATGTGGAAGTAGCAGCATTCCCAGAAGATGGCGAAGAAGAAATTCCAGTTGATGCAACAGACGACCAGTCAAATGAAATCCCACTACGTGCTCGACTAACTAGATGTCGAACCATTGCATTTAAACGTTGTGATTCTTTACGTACCTAGGAAATAGGGAATAAATAAACAAAATTCATATTGAATCCATGTTCAAAATGGACTATACTACAATCTATGACATCGTATATACTATGGCAATTTAGTTGGTTGTGGCTAGCAGAGGAGTCCAGGATGTACGTTTTGTCTTATTCGGGATTCGTCAGCTGGATGTACCTGCACCCCAGTGAGTAATGTTGCTCCCACCGAGACACAAACCTCATACCCATCTCTTCAAGCGCTAAGGCGTTATCCACTATACCCTGGAGGTACGATAGCCACTTCTTGTACAACAGGTAGTAGTTATTACTATCTATTGATAAACTTGTAATTCTCAGGTGTTTCAGTGAATCGAATTATTCGATCTCTTCTAGTCACAACCAACTAGACTACCATAATTAACATTCAGGAAATTATCGAGGCAACCGCATAGGAGCCCATACGCCAATAGAGTTCGAACAATTCCATCCAATGAAACAACTGAGAAACACAAGTATACCAATAAATAGTAATTGTATACATTGTTAATAGATTTTCGCTAATAGCTAAGTAACTAATAGTAACTTTTTTCAATTTTAAGGTTTGTGTGGATCTGTTTATTGATCTCAGGTTGGCATTCATTGTGAACTGACATCAACTGGAGAAACGTTGAAAATCTGGGAGCCTTGAACAGCTGTTTCGTCCTAGTACGGAACTTCTTAGCAGTGCGCACCCATGACTCCACCCTCAACGAGTTGAACCCAGGACCTTCAGGTTCCGCAGCCAGCACGGTAACATCGAACTATTGGGTCGGAATTTACTGGTTTATATTTCCTACTTCTGTCAGTTCATAATATAGAGCGACGTCCACCCAATGTCGTCGCTGAGTAACTATCCTCATGTTTGATTCGGTCAACCCTACCGGTCATGACTTCCCATTTGAACTTCGGGAATCGCCTCTCCAAGCTAGTCACTAATGTGTTAGTCAAGAGACCTGAAAGTCCTGAGTTCAATCCCTAGCTGATTCATGGGTGCATACCGCTGAGGAGTCCCATAGTAGGACGAAACAGATGTCCAGTATCCCCAGGTTTCCAATGTTCCTCCAATGAAAACTAATCTGAAACTAATAGTAACTTTTCTTGGTATCTTTATAGTTAGTGTATGATATTTGACCAGAGTTCAACGTTGCTTATTCTCAATAGAAATCACTTGAAAGTGAGAAAATTACATAACACTGAATATTGTTCAACTATGTTGGGTGCATCAATTTGAAAATAAGGGAAATAGTATATTGATATCATCTACTATTCCTCTAAACAGTACCATCTTCACAGTCAATGTTAAACTTACGGATTTTCGAGTGGTTTTAACAGTGAAATATCATCTGAAACTGACAGTTAATATCTTAACCTAAGGAGTAGATCCAAACTAGGTGAACCTGCCTAAGATAAATGATGCTGACAACCGACTGGTGTGCATAACCCAGTCTCTGACTTCGGCAATGTGTGGCACAGGCGGGACAGCTTCCGCATAGTTGTAGATACTCCTTCCTGATGAGTGCCAACAAGTACGAAACCAAGATAGATCAGGGCTTTCTGCTAACCGACTACTGTTGTCCGACACCAAATAGACGAAAAGGATTTGTCTTTCGGAAACAATAGTGCCTAGTGGTGATTTACTGCATTTAACCTACGCTATTTACTGAGATGCACATCGTATGAAGATCAGATTGAGAAAGGTCTAAGCATAATCAAATGCAGAAATGTGATATCAACGCCAAAAGTTGTGAACTGCTATGTGGTCTGTGCAAGGAAGTGTCACCTAACCGAGAGATATCCGCTAAACATTTACTATACATCAATAATTTAAGACATTTGATAACTAAACGCAAAAACTGATAACTGTGACAGAGATGCATTAAAACCTTGATCTTTCAGGAAGCATTGAACTATCTACTACTCTTGATTCATTTTTCTTCCTTTCTGTCATCTTTTTTTTCTTGTTTCATGTTACTATCTCTACATTTACGTTGATTCCCTTACATCAAACTCTTGATAAATCTTTGTAGTATCATTTGTTGCGAATGCCAAGTCACCGCCTACCTCGATCTGCCATACTGGAGGAAGTTGGATTTGGTTGGAAGAAGGTTCAAGGCGACCAGACCAAGAACTGGCACCAGTCCATGAAGTCTCTAACTGTTGGACTGGGACGTATGTGGGGATACTAACTACCTGGTTGGGGTCCATGAGACAGAGGTTGAGGATTCTTGTTCACAACTGAAAAACGGTCACAATGGCGAAGATGGGCTCACTCCTTGGCATCTTCTACAGCATGAATATTTGCACTAACCTTTATCTTCAAATGGTTTATTCTCTCACACTACGTTATCTATTTTTGTATCACTCTTATCCTATCCATCTGTCTTTTGTATACTACTAATGTGAAGTGTAGCAACTTGAACCAATGCACCTGTGTGCAAGGTCCTACGTTGATTCCGTCTGTCTGTTAGATGTTGAAAGTCAGTCATCAGATAGCCCCTCCTCAACTAAGGTTTTGCGCTTGTTGACGATAATCAACAAAGAGTATCTGACATCTAGAAAGAAATGACATCCAACCCTAACACTAAGAGATTGAAAACTTGATCGATAAAATTCGGTCAACATTTTGAACTGGACAATGTGACCAATTGATACAGAAGAAACAACTGTCTAGCAACTAACCTGCATTAGAATCTCTATAATTTCAATTGGAGATTTTTAATCATTCATTGAATTGAAGCGAACTTGTTCAGTTCACCATCTTTTCAAGTATGCGTTTAGTTTTAGAATGGTTTCAAATGGCTGAACTTCCTGAGGTGAATATCAATCTGCATACATGACTGTTGGCATAAACTGAAAGAAATGGCTATCCAATGTTTAGATCACTACTGACTAATGCGGATGATTACTCATGTAAGTCAGCCAGTTAGTCGTATAACTTACTCATCGGCATGACGCGCTTAAATGGGATTACCCTACTAAGTGTAGTCACTGGTAAACACTGGGGTTTTATAAACGTCTTATGAGGGTAACCTGAAAATGCCCAACATTCCCTATCCAATAGGGAAATACAAACTGGTTTTCTGGCATCATTCTACGCCCACAGACCTTTGTATAGCAACCAAATTACCATAAATAACATTCAGCCAATATCAAGGTATCCGCATAGGAGCCCATATCCAAATAGACACAGGACAATGCTATCTAATGAAACACCTGAGAATTACAAGTTTATCAATAGATAGTAATAACTACTACCTGTTGTAAAAGAAGTGGCTATCGTACCTCCAGGGTATAGTGGATAACGCCTTAGCGTTTGAAGAGATGGGTATGAGGTTCGTGTCTCGGTGGGAGCAACATTACTCACTGGGGTGCAGGTACATCCAGCTGACGAATCCCGAATAAGACAAAACGTACATCCTGGATTCCTCTGCTAGCCACAATCAAGCAAATTACCATAAGTGGAGTATTTGAAAGCGTTGGTTCCACTAAATCATATGCCCTGACTACCAACAATATTTTGGTTTCAGTAGCGAGCGGTCACTTACTTGTTTCCAAATTGCTTTAACTGATTTCCTGACTGATGGAGACTAAATGTATATATCCAATAATAATTCAGTTCCACTGTGCTAGGCTTAAGCCTAATCATACAAAGTTATCGATGCCAGACAGAATAAGATTATCGGAATTCAAACATTGGTACCAGTCACTAAATAGTACATGTCAAAACCATGGATGACTGAGAAATAGTAAGGTTCAATGCACAGCAACGAATGTAAATCGGGTAGTTGTAATTTTAGAAAAGTCAATCAACTTTGACGCCTAGGAAGTGTGTAAGCAATTAAAAACTATGAGTAATCAAGAGCTTGAACGGGTTGGTTGCCGACGAAATCTCAGCTCGGATACAAAAGGCCCATTTGTCACCTGTGTCCCCGACTAACGAGATAATCAACAACAGTTATGAAATAACGTCACTAAAAGTAGAAGATAAGAAGTGGTTACAAGTTTTTGATTACAAATGTCTTTGTAGCACTGTTAGCGTTTAGTCGAATCACAAGTCGATCAATAACGTTGTGGATCTTCATTAACTGAGACGGCTTAGAACACATGTTGTGCATGTCGAGCCACTGCCTACTACGCTGTGCAATTCTTGGGAGCATTGAACTAGGTTAGAAGAGGGTTCAAGGTGGCCAGAGCGAAACGTGGCACCAATCGATGCAATAACCGTCTACTTTGACATCATTTCCTATCCATCTGTTCTTTGTGTGCAGTGTGGCAAATCGAACCGATTTTATCTAAGAATTTTAATGTTGACCAAAGAATCAAGATAGAAAATGGATAAATGGTTACTGACCATAGGTTCACTAATGTGAGTCTCTAAGATGACTGACTGGAAGAGTTCTTTTGAAGGAATTAACTTATAAATTTTAAAACGTTTCTTCTAAAATCACAGAAGCAGCTATCTTCATATTTTTTGAGGTTTTATAGACATTATTTGCTTTCAAGTCTATTTCTTTGTTATATCATTCAATCCAATTTCTATAAGAGTCTCCTAGCATAGTGTGTATGTTTCACTTGACTTAATCAATATTGAGCATCGAGTAATGAATCGTCGCATTTACGCGCATTCATCAACAAGAGAAATCTCGTTTGAGTAAATCAAAATAAGAAATCTACAAAATAACTTGGAATAGACACTTTGTTTCGTTATATTTCAACAGGAACTTACTGTTCTCAAGTATAATTCCAAACGTGATGCACACACTTCAACCTGAGCAAGTGCTTGTAGAGATAATTGATGTGTTTTATTCAAATGTCTAAAATAAAAAGGAAAAAAAAAGAAGATAGACAACTCACCTAGTAACATCATCAGTATCAAGATAGGACTAGATATTACTGCCACCACACCTCATATCACCACATCAAGTAAAAAGGCAGTGAGGTGCAACATGAAGATAAGCAAATTCAATCAAAAGAAATATAAAGTACGAAAAGAGAGAAAGGAAGAATTACAAAATGGTGAGACTCGGTATAGTGTCGTTAAGATGAGGATAATATGTGTGGGGACACATCTGCGTCACTGACATCGGTTCTCACCCATATCATCACCTACAGTCAGTCTCCAACCTCTCGTTCCTCTTGTCCCACCGGCCCCTACCAACTAGTCTACATCGACCCCCCACCCCCCCCCCTACATGGCTCAAACCAACAGTCAAACACTTCATACATTGATGCCATGTTTTAGTCTAACCACCTCGGGCCTTCTTCCAGCCTCAACCTACTTCGACCAACATTGTGTGACGAGGCAATTGGTGACTAGGCATACGTAACACGTGTCCCAACCATCTCAGTCGATCAAGGTTCATAACCTCGTCAACTGACTCACCTCTACTCCCTAAAACTCTACACCTGACTTCTGCGTTGCTCACGTGGTGACACCACAGAATACGGCCTATACTACGAAGGCCTGACTAAGAGCACCTTACCACCATCGTTGTATACACCTCAAGAGTTAGTCCGTCTGGTCCTGCTACCCTTCCTCGTTTCAGGTTACCTACTGCTTTTCCGATTTCCCCTAATAACACTAAATAATGACTTCAGCACAATCATTAGTTGACTGAAAAAGTTGGGCCATTCACTGCGCTCATATGAAAGCAAGTTGGAAATGAATTGATCAGTCAACTTAAATGTTCTTAATGCACATGAAGTACTGAAAAGTTGTACAATTGGGCAAGATGATTATTCTGTATTGTCTCTCACTTTCAGTAGTTCTTTTTCATCATGTCAATGTAGTTTTTATGATATAAACCCTATTAATAATCACTAGTTTGTTAAGAGAACCGCACAAATCTAACATTCATAAACTGAACCTGATCATCAATAAGGATCAATCTAAGTAAGGAATGCTTAGAATTTAAATGAAAAATTGCGATGGGATAAGATGCAGAATTGTTCTACAATATCAGTAGATCATATATTCCAGTGTGAGAATATTGGTTCTTATCTCTGACGGGGTCATAGGTATGCACTACTGAGGAGCCCCATACTAGGATGAAACAACTGTCCATTGCTAACAGGTTTGCAATATTTCTCCAACTGATATCATGAATTAATAAATCCTCACAAACCCCCAAACTGAATACATCAGTAACCCAAATTTTATCGAATAATGAAAAAACTTAACTTGCTTCACATATTAAATCAACCAATGATAGTTTTCATCACAGAATAATACCAACTATAGAGGGGTCGAAAATGTTAGAACACTCATACTGTCCTATACTAATCAATAGAATGTACACAGATAAACAGATGAAATCAACGTAGAAAGTCGCACACAAATATATAGACCCAAGTTGCCATTGTGACAAATTTTCACCTATCTCACCAAGAGTCAGTTCTCAACCACTGATTTCTATCGTCTTGAGGACCCCAGTCAGAGAGTCTACACCTCCCCATATGGCCCAGACCAACAGTCAGACTTCGTGGACTGGTGTCAGTTTGAATCCAACTTCCTTCATGTCGAAGTAGGGGGCGGCTTGTCATGCATAACGCATGTCCAAGACACTTAAGTCAATGAAAGTCCACAACCTCACCAGTAGACTTTCCATCTTCACCTGGTAGCCTGTGCTTAACCCGAACATTTCACATAATGTGAATGTACACGCCTTCCAGTGAAGTGTCTTGTGTTAGTCAAAAAAAACGTAAACTCAATACACAGGGGAGATTAAAATTTACCCGACGTTTACAGAAATATCTCAATGACAAAGGAGGTGAGTGATACGCATACACATCCTCTTTTCAAATTTGCTTCTAAGCAGGAATAGGCAGTAGCAAACAGTTAACAAACAACACTAACTTCTGCTGCATTTCTCTTCCTCTCTCTACAATTTACAACGCAAACATATCCCAGAAAGGAATAGATATTTGACTCTATACAGAAACCTCAGACAAGAAATATTGCTAAAGATCAACATGACTCTTTGTAAAGTGATTGAACACAGGTTCATGCACCAGACACTATCAGCCACACTTCTTCATTCGCGGTTCACGATATAGTCTACGCCATTAAACCTCGGTAGGTGGGATGAAATTCGAATATATACATAACCTGCTGGATAAAAATCCAGTGTACAAAGCAATCAGCTGAAATTCCAGAACAAATCAATGACCTATCAGCAATCCATCTTAGTTACACACACACATACACACAAAAAAAAGATGATTTGAGCAATAAACATCTGTTACACTCATTTTGAGCCAATCTCATCAGTAGATACACGGTGATCGATTTAGCTCAGGTACACAAATTATTCAAACCACTCAAATTTTGAATTTCGTAAACATTTATGGTGCTACACGGTTGGTAGATCAAGCAATGAAAATTCTCCACTTGAAATGTCGCTCAACTCTGTATGAGCACACTATAATCGAAAGGTTATAATTAGTGAGAAATAGCCAACTATCAAGTGCTTTTAGGCGTTTAATACAATGGGTATCATCCTTTCTTGTATTTCTCAACACTGCACTCTACATACTACTTATTCGGGCTTTTATAAGTAGTTTTCAACGAAATATCCATTCATATCGCAGACTTTTTCACTTCAAACCCCAATCCAATTTTTTTTCATTTGTTCTTAATCTAGTTTTGAAGTGCATACAGAATACAGAAAGTGATTCATTTTTCACCTAAAATTCCATTTGTTTGTTTGTCAATAAATTGCTGATCACTGGTTCCAACCTAAAAAGGATACAAACTGTTTTTCTTTCTCTGTTTGTAAAATTTATTGTGGATATACCGTATCCTTAAAGGGGAACAGTGAAACAAACAAATAAATAAATAAACACATATGTGTTTAGTCACGCGTTGACCTTTATCCGATTACTATTCTACTCTTCATCTGTCTGTCTAGACAACTATAAATAATGACGTAAACTGGATTTAAACCATTTTGTATGACTAACTAGCTTACTATTGAGCTAACTATAACCTCGTTTCAGACATTTCTGGTTGCATGAATAAAAAGGCATGGTGGCCATATTGTATGTATGATCAATAGGATTCGGTCTGCACTCAGGACTAGGCAATATGAAATTGGTTGCTCTCCCGTGATCAATCAATACATGTAACCCAATCGTACAGGAAGTCAGTCGCGTCCCGAATAGCTTAGTGGCAAAGTCACTGACTAAAACACTGGGTGACATGGGTTCAAATCTCAGGCGGGACATCAGTTACGTTGAGGTTGCAGATACGCCTTGCTGACGCGTGCCAACAAGTACGAAACCTAGGTCGAGCTGGGCTTCTTGCCAATTGCCTCCAACCAACTAACATCTACTAATGTTTACCGTGATCCTGAGCCTCATAGTTTGGTGGCCACTTTGCAAATATGATCGACAGGATTAGATCTTCGGCTGGACAAAACTCTTGAATATGAGTGACTACCTAGCCAGCAGTTGAGTCCAGTGGCTGGCTCAACCACTAGGGCACTGGAGGTGTTCGGCATACGTTCCCTTCTAATCTCAATCGAGCGAGCACAACCGACAGATAATGAGAATAGCCTGAATCATCAAAGTGATGACGGAATATTAACTACTACCAAGTAACATAATTAACCTCGCCTGGTTAACTAGTTCACTAGTTACTAGCCGGTCCTAAGCCCGGGTAAAGAGGGAAGGTTGGGCATAGGGCTAGCAACCCTACCCCGTAAAACAAATCTAACCGCTAAAGAAACTTCAAAGCACAAACAAAATATAAAAAATGAAAACAAACTTATTCCCCGCTGGAATCGGAGAGGCGAAATGACGCCAGTTGGTGAAAGCCTTCGGGAAGCCAATTGGCCGATGTGTCTTCTCTCGATGAAAGCGAAAGTAAACGTGGGGACATGGAATGTCCGCACGATGTTTGAACCCAGTAAGGCAGCCCAGATTGCAAGGGAGATGAGAAGGTATAACATCGAAGTGCTTGGGATTTGCGAAAGCAGATGGAATGGGAGTGGACTCTCCAAACTGTCAACTGGAGAATCAATAATCTACTCCGGTCACCCAGACGCCAACCACGAGCACACTGAGGGAGTGGCTATCATGATGTCCTCAAGAGCATCGAAGGCTCTCATGCAGTGGGAACCAATCTCCTCCAGGATCATGACAGCAAGATTCAACTCAAAAGGAAGAAAGGTCACAATCATACAATGTTATGCACCTACAAATAATGCAGAGCAAGAGAAAAAGGAGGATTTCTACAGACAACTTCAATCAACACTGGACAAGACGTCAGTTGGCGATATCAAAATTCTGATGGGCGACATGAATGCCAAACTGGGAGGGGACAACACGGGAAGAGAACTAACCATGGGTCGAGAGGCACTAGGTGAAATGAATGAGAATGGAGAATTGTTTGCAGAATTCTGCGCATTCAACGATTTGGTGATTGGAGGCAGTGTGTTCAGGCACAAAGATATCCACAAAGCGACATGGATTTCACCAGATGGACACACTAAAAATCAAATCGACTTTATCTCAATCTCAAGAAAATGGAGACGCAGTCTACTTAACACAAGGTCAAGAAGAGGAGCAGATGTAGGTTCAGACCACTATCTAGTGCAAGGAACCTTCCAAATCAAGTTAAAAGCCTTCAAGGAAGCTGGTGATAGACCTCAACCCAAGTACAACACTCGGAAACTGAAGGATGAAACTACAAAGGAGATCTTCAAGGCAGCCATCAAGACAAAATGGGAGACATCGAGGGACATCCCTGAAGAAACCTGTGTGGAAGAACACTGGAAGTCTTTGAAAGCTATGTGGAAAGAAACCTGCACAA